CTAATGTGCGTTGGTCCATTTAAATACATGGCAAGCAGACAAAAGAAATTTCCACATGGCGCCGCGCCGCGTCGCGCTGCGGTCTAGTGGGCGACAACCTTAAAGGTTGTCGCAACTTTTTTCCGTCTCCCGCGTTTTGGCGCGTTGCAGTGTGCGTACTCACCAGTAGCGTGTCGTGGATAAAAGGGCGGAGGGGGCGAAGACCTTAAGGGGCGCAATGATCAATAAAGGATCAAATAAATTACAAACTTTTTTTAAATAATAAGACTACATGAAAACTTTTATTTTTTTTAATTATAAATTTGTTTATTAAAAAAGTTAGTATACAAAACAGTTATTTCAGAGATACAAGCGTCTTGTTTTAACCGATTTAAAAGAATCAATTATTTCGTCTATATTTAGATCCAGGGCTGTGTCTGCTTCAATACTGAGAAGTGATAAATAATCCTCTGGTAATTATTAATTCTTCCTAATCTACTGAAAGATCCTTCTGCACCAGCACTGTTGGTGGCTATAGTGTAAAAAATCTTCAGTAATGCACATCTTTATGTAGATAGGATATGACTCTAGGACATTGGAAATTAAAAATGATAAATATTCGTCAGGTGCAAATTTATTGTCATTGCATTAATTTCTTCTAATAAACTGCAAAAATGTTTATATTCATCAACTAAAGAATAATCCATAACAATCCATAAGACATTTTAAATTGTCATCATTGGCGTCCATATCCATCCATATTGGTCTATATCCAATAAACAATTAAATTTTTGGCACATATTAAGGAAGTCTTCAAAATGATTCTCTAGAATACCAGTTGAAATGTCTAAAGTACCATAAAACACTGATATCTTCAAATTATCTTCAGAATTTTGATGTAGGTAATCATTCTGGATTTCATCATGAATTTTTTTATTCTTTGTCTTTTTTGGAAAATGATGTTGACGTATTGCATTTATTTGCCAAAATAGTAGCCTGTTTTTAAAAATTTTCACAATATTTTTCACTTCTTAATGATTTGAGGTCTATAGTTACTGCAGTACTCATATGAGCAGCTGTACATAAGTTGATATTAACCTTTTGCAAGTGCGATTGGACAATATATTAATTTAATTCAGCACTTCATTATAATCGATTATATTTTGGTCGGTGATTCCCCGAATTTATTTCTATCACGACGGCTTTCCTCTTCTTCTTTGGCGGCGCCGCGCCGGTGCAACGTTATGTCTAGCCATTGTATTTTTATTTATAGACAATGGTCTAGCGGTAGCGTAGTTTCAAGTTTCAAACCCATATGGAAACTTTCGTACGTAGTATAAACGCCTACTTCATTAGAGATTTAAATTATTAAATATAAGAATGTTTGCTTCTATTTAAGTTAAGTTAAAAAACAAAAATAAAATGTGAGAAATATATACGTCATTTTTTTATCTTGAAGAGCTCAGGGCACGGAAAAGCGCATAGGGGCGGAGGGGGCGTTCGCCCCCCCTGGCCCCCTATACGACACGCCACTGGTACTCACAAGGGAAATAATTTTGCATTCGAGTCTTTTCAGTTGGCTTTTTGACTAGGAACTAGTGATACGTATCAATGGTAGAATTGTATTTTTAAAGGTAAATTAGGCAAATCGATTTTCATAAAGGAATATGATATTTTTTTAAGTCTTCCCTCACTAGAGACAGATGGACGAAATGCCGTTCTATCAAAGATTTAATATAATTGAGGGGTGTAGAGGCAAAACCGGCAATCTCCACTTTTTAAAAAAAGTGACAATCTCCAATTTTTAAATTCTAATTACCTAAATATATAAAAAAGATCAGGGTTTTTTCACCACATAACTAATATACACATCAGAATAAATAAGAATTATCAAAAGTATTAGTAATATGTCTCTTCTGAAAAAATATGATGAGTAGAGATACTCGGTGTTTTGCTTCTAAAACCCTCAATTGAGGGGTGCGTAAAATGTTTCCTTTATATTTTGTAATACTGAAAAAAATGATCTTGTCTTTTATTACATCTGGAAAAAGATGGTAAAATTCTCCAAACTTCCTTCTTTTTTTGTTAATCGTATGAGTCCAAACTTTTCCTCACCCCCTCTTCCTCTTCCTCTGTTAGAAGAGCACAAAAAATACGCTTTCGTCCGTACTTGAACTCATTGCTTTAAAAACTAAACTACAGTAAGTAAAAAACACTTCGACTATAACTAAATAGCGTTGCCGCGTTTCAAAAGCGCGCTATAGTGGGCGCAGTTCCTTCGCAGCCGGAAAAAATTCTCTCCCCAGCGCCGCGCCGCGCAGCGGTCTAGTGGGCGACAACCTTTATTCGTTCACATTCGAGTCTTGTCGGAATCGGAAGTCGGGCAGTTTCTAATGGCGTTTTCGATTGGCAGAGCTAGAGCGCACGTGCGCACTCAGTGTAGTTCCATCTTTTATTAATCAACGTAAAAAAGAAAAACAACAATACACTGAGTGCGCACCCATTCCGATCCAGTTTTCGATTGTGTCATGTGTCATGGTGGCCGTAGGTTGTTTTTGGCTTCCGCCTTGTTTTCTTTTGTCGTTGCCTTCGTTGCTCGTTGTTTCAAGGCAAGTTAAAGTGTAATATTATAATGTGACTATTTCACCTAGCACAGTCACAACCTTGAATGATTAAGAATCGGCTCATTCAATTTTTTCAAAACAGAGGCAAGAATTAGATATTTGAATACTTAGTTTTCTTTTTGTATTTTTTAATTAGGAGCAGTTCGAGAATAAAAAAATAAAATATCTATCAACGTTCAATAAAAGACAGAGTGCACTAAGGGTGTAGTTGCCGGACCGAAGCCAGACTCACGGGTGTATCAAGACATAAGGGATGGCCCTGTACCTGAGTTTTTATATTGATAAATATTTTAAGCTGACTTCCATTGAATTATTTCTAATTAAATTCCTAGGTCGTATACGTCGTTGAAAAATGTACGTCCATAGTACGCACATTGTATGTCCATAGTACGTACATTGTACGTACTTTCGATCATTTTACATCCAGTTTTGGTCCGGAACAAAACATAAAATGTACGTACCTGGAATGTACGTACATGCGACGTACATAGTACGTACTTCACCACATCCCAGGGACGTACATAGCGTTGGAAAATGTACGTCCCTAGTACGTACATAGTACGTACCGTGGCTGTATGGGGAGTGCACAGATTAATATATAAAACAATCAAACCGTCATTTAGAGCCACCTGGTGGTCCGGAAGAAACTAATGGAGAGTTTTGGCATAACATAGCGTTTCGTTACTTATTAACGCTAATTAATTATTATTATAGACTTTTTTACGAAATTTTATGTTTTATTAGATCATTAGAAGTGTAACATAGCTCGCATTTTTTTATTTATTATTTTTTCGTCATACTATATTGTTATATTATTATAACATAAGCAAAATCAGAATGGAAAAGATGCATATAACGTCCGCCGGACGTTATCATAACGGCCGGCGGCCGTTAAGTTTCTAAGGTAATCGTAACGTCTGTCACCTGCAACAATGACTATTTATTGTCAGTTGGACTTTTCAAAAATTGGGAAAATAGACCATAGCGAGATGTCGCGACAAATTCCGTTGGAAATACAGGAGGAAGTGGCTGCGGCTACTCAAAATTTACTTCCGACTATAACCAGAGAGAGATATCAGCAGGAATATGACAATTTTTTTGAAGTGGCGGCAGGATAGAAGTATAAACAGCGTAAATGAAGCGGTATTGCTGGCTTATGCTAAAAGAATGTCTGAAATGTATTCTCCTACATCACTGTGGACAAAGATATCCATGCTGAAGCTTGCGTTGAGAGTATATGAAAACATCGACATATCAAGGTAAAAAGCCATTATATTCTTCGATATTTAATCATACTCATCTAAATTATATTTGTTCATAGATTTGGTAAACTGTTCATGTTTCTGAGGCGCAAAAACGAAGGTTATTCACAAAAAAGCCAAAGTTCTGTCGGAGAATGACATAAATAATTTTCTACTGGATGCCGATGATTACACCTGGTTACTCGAAAAATTGTATTGGTGCTTGGTATTCTTGGAGCTTGTAGGCACAGCGAGCTTTGGTCACTCACAGTTGATGATTTCGAAGATTCGGAGAAAAATATTCTTGTCTCATTAAGAAATACTAAAAATAAGAAAGATAGGAAATTTCTTATTCCAAAAACGGGCCTTCCGTTTGATGCCTATGGTTTATACAAAAAATACATCAACCTGCGTCCTCGTAACTTTGACAATCCAAAATTTTTCATTGGTTACAAGAAAGGCAAGTGTGTTAAGCAAATCGTCGGTATACATACCATCGGGAGCGTACCGCAGAAAATTGCAAAATTTTTGAACTTGGAGAATCCAGAACGTTATACAGGGCATTCATTTCGTAGATCATCAGCAACCATGCTCGCCGAAAATGGTGGTGATTTACTATCGCTAAAGGAGCTAGGAGGATGGGAGTCTTCAACAGTGGCAGAAACTTACATAGAAAAATCAGTTTCCAAAAGAATGAAAATAACAAATCAACTTTTTCATGATAGCTCCAAAAATAATGTGTCTTTAGTGGATACAAATATTTGCCATTCTTCAGTAGCATCATCTTCTTCTATAAAATCTGTAAATCCCTGGGAAGGATTACAGATTTCTAAGAACAACAAGTGCACTTTTAATTTCCATGTTCATTATCATGAAAAATGAATTTTAGTATAAGACATTATGTATTTTTATCCTTACTTGTGTTATTGTTCAATAAAATTTGTTATTAAATAGTAGTGTTTATTGCTCTAAAAAATCTGCAGTATGACGAAAAATCTAGAACGCAACACGGCCGATAACAAATAACGGCCTTGGCTGCTTATGATCCTCGGCTATCGCCTCGGATCACAAACTTCAGCCCGGCCGTTATTTGTTGTTTATCGGCCTTATTACGTTAATAACTATTTTCTAAAATATCTTTAATAAAAAAGTTTAGTTTATTGTACTATTGTTTATTGTAGTTTTATTAATTATAATAAATACCATATTTTAATTAAAATCACAACCTTCATTGTCGTATGCTTCTTGTTCGTTGTGATTCTTTTCAGGTTTTTTGTTAAAATTCTTGAAGGCATCTATGAAACAAAGTTGTGGCTTTTGCTTTGTTACTCCGGGAATGTCCTTTTTATATATACTCCTTGCCCAAAGTCCCAGAAAGAAAATTTCCACCATCAAGAATGAGTTATGTATTACTGAAAAAAGAATTATATACATAGCGTCCGTACAGAGTGAGTCAACGATAGAATAAAGTTTATTATTTCGTTTATTATAATTAACAGAGCACTGGCTAAACAAATGCCGACGCGGCGGTATAGGTAGTGTATATGTTACAGTGAAAGTCGGAAATTTAGTGATTGTTAACATTCACTAGGAAATGCTAGCAATTACGCATTGGACTAGTGAATGTGGTATTTTAAAGATAGTAAAGTAAAGATTTCAGTTAACATCTCCTTTTTGCTGCCAGGGCTAATCTGGACGGGGCCTATTTTGTTTATGCGGAATCCGAACCGCGGTCCTCGGCCATATCATGGTCAGTGGCCTACCGACTTAGGAAGTGTCTAAATTAACTCTTACTCACGAGATATCCGATCTCATCCGGCATCGAAGCGGCGTGAATGAGCAGTGTGTATCAATATATTTTACACTTTTTACTTGGACAACAGCACGATACAGAGTTTCGAATCGGTCACCCGTCCATCCACCAGTATAGCCTTACGTCGCTTAACTTCGGTGTTCCAATGGGAACCGGTGTTTCAACGTAGCTAGGCCGTTCCCTTGTATTTTAAAGAGATTTATCGACTTTTGCTAGTAATTTCTAACATTCACTAGTGAAAGTAACATTTACTAAAGGTTGCCAGTAAAAGTTATTCTATTGTACAGTGCGAGTGTGGTGAGGAAGAATGTTGGTGCAAGTTAGAACAAATAAAACTTTTAAGAATATTGGATCACCTCAATTATTCAAGCCGATTCGCATATCTTAAAATTACAATTTACTTCTTTGGTATATTTATTAAAACTTACAGAAAATAACTACATAACCTTCTAAATATTAAAAGGGAAATCATAGTAAAAAATTTAAAGCGTACAAAACAATTAAAAAAACATTCATAAACATAAGTTTACTTATTGGTACAAGGTTTCATTGTGGACAAAATAAAGTATTCAACGTGAGTTATTCGTTTTTTCAAACCCGCTATTAAAGCATATCAAAACTTTTAATAAATTCATAGTCACTAGGTTCTTTAATATCTTTTCTCTTGCACGCTTAACTTTTGCTATAACTTCATTATATTGCAAAAATGAAAAACAAGCACTATTACATTCTTGCGAGTGCCTAGTCGCCTAGATAGATTCTACCAAAACTCTTAATATTTTATTAAGTTTGTCATATACCTGTTTTTAGCATATTTATTCTAAATTTTCTATTTTTACACGTCTTGTTAATTCGTTTAAAATCTATACAGGGTAGCGCCTCTCATACGACGCAGAGGCTCCAAGGAGAACGACAGTTTCTATTGCAATAAAATTTTGTGAACAGACTAATACGTAGTTAAATTAACTATTGTGCTTTAAATCAAATTGAAACTTGATCCAAACAGTTATACAGGGTGAGACAAAATTAATATTGAACATTGGTCACATTTTAAAGCAAGTTACTCTTTTAGTTTAAATGGAACACCCAGTATATTATTCCTATATTCAATGGGGAATTCATGTCTCTTTAAAATATCATTAAGGTTGCCTACCCCTCATACAATGATTTCCTAGATATTTTCATTTATAATATGATTTAGTGTCTGTAGATCTTTATTATTTGATAAAATCTAGGTGGCTGTGATAAATCTGACGTTACTTTAACATAGCTGTCTAGTTAGTCCACCTTTAACAACTAGTTATCATTTTGTGTCAGTTAAATTTAAACAAATTTAAACAAAAACATTTCTCAGAAATTTACTTAAAATGCAAACTTATCCTAAATCAGAGAGAGTTGATATGATTCTATTAGTTGATGAATGCAGTGTGTATTCACCAATTAATAGAATACTTAAATGCTCCTGATTTTATCTAGTCTGAGCTTTTTTATGGGGATATGTTAAAGACAGTGTTTGCAAAATTCGACGAACCATTGTCGACAACATGAGAGAAATGATTGTAGCTGATTTTCGAAGCAGAACTCCACATATACCTTAATTTTTCATAGAAAATGTCCTCCGTAAGGAAAATATCGCAAGGCACACGCCAATGTTTAGGCGAATTTATTGTTATCCTTATATTGCCTATTATTCAACTTATCCTTATTTATCCTTTTATATTTTACAACATGTGGCACACGCTAACTGAATCTTTCAAACGCACATTTTACTAGTAATTGTTAACAATCACTGATTTACAACTTTTACTGTAACATATACAAAAAATACCGGCGGTATGATATTTCTATATTCGTAAATACCGGCAGGGCCGTATCTAGACCAACATTTCGGGGGGGGTTGACTTGGAGGGGGGTACAAAGCTGCTAGGAAAAAAGCATAATAAAAAAATCGCTTTGGGCTACACTCAAATCTTAATTGAAAATAAAATTTTAAAAAAGTAACAGGTAAAAATTATTAATCTTAAAGGATAAACTGGTCTTTTCCCTGCAAAAACGATTGACTACCTCTTCGATATCGATATTTATTTCTCTATGTACGCTTAATAGAGGAAGTCCTGTCAATCGCTCCTGACCTGTAGAGTTACGTAGGAAGTCCTTAATCGTTTCATGCCGCAACCGCACATGCGGCATTTAGCGAACTCCGAGCGCTCGTCAACTACCGAACGCTCGTGATCGGACTTCGCCGTTCCATCCACACATGCGGGCTCTGATAGCAACAACATAGAGATGAGCGCTCGTTCTCGTCGCCGATCGAGTCGCCGAACTCCGACTTCTTCATCCACACACATAGGAAATCGGCGAAGCCCCGATCGGAGATCGCCGAATACCGCATGTGCGGTTGCGGCATTAGGGTTGAAAAAGACCTTTCTGGTGTAGCTGTTGACGCTGGTAGAGTTGCTAGGATCATTAATAAAATGTATATATTTGGAAATATACACTGGTTACACTCCGATTATCGTTTCGATGGCGTTTTTAGGTCGGTCAACTGCAGGTAGCTGCTTCCATTTTTACCGCCACAAGTCTAGTTCTGCCGCTAAAGTGTCATAGTCCAAGAATTCTTTGTCTAATAGCAGAACAATAACAAACGTTAATCACGTTAATGACCAGCAAAACACACAACATTCAAAATCTTGTCCTTGTCAAACTTTTGCTGTTTTAAACACTTGAATGTTGAATGTTGAAAGTTGAAAATGACATTTTCTTTCAAAGTGGAAAAGTGAGGTTAGGATGTATAATGTATATTCATCAATGATTAAAGAATACAAGGACAAATAGCACCCGAAACCAAACTGTGACCATACTTCCAAACAGTGTCGTGGCACATATTTTACTTAACATTGCCGCTTGAAGGGATATTTATATTTTTGATATTATATGTTTTCACTACGCCTATGGTGTATCGGGTGGTATCATACTAATTAATTACGAAAAAAACGTATTAAAATGTTAACAAAAGGTACATAACTAGTATCAACGTATAGTACATATCAAGTACATATAATATCAGAAAAATAATTATCGAATTCAATAAAAAAAAACGCTAAAAAGGTGTAGGGGACTGTTTATTTCCCTATAAAACGTAACTTCTGGCTCTTTCTTATCATTGCGCCTTTTACACTTGACAGCTGAACAAATTACCATTGTAATAAAGTTTATACAAAGTTCACTATACACAACCAACTATTAAAAATCGCTAAAATTGTCGCTGATGACCAGCCGATGATTCATTCGTTATGTCTAAAAAGTTAGCGTCTAAGGTCACAAATTCTGCTGCAGCCCGTATATGGGCGTTACATGTCCTTGTATTCTTTAGTCGTAGATATTCATCCATCTTGTTCTTTTTTTGTTTCGTTCTTACTTACTCAATGATCATTACTTTTTAAAAATTTTCGGCCATAATTTCGGGGGGGGGGGGGTTTGAACCCCCAAAACACCCCCCCAGATACGGCCCTGAATACCGGTTATCTGTAGTATTGTTGGCCAGTGCGTAATCTAAATTCTATCCTTACTAACAATTTGCATATGTCGTTGAAGTCAGAGGCGTATTGCAAGGTAACGTTCCAGTCCAAACTAAAGATTTCAATATTAATGCTTGCAATTTGGAGGAAATAATTACTAATTGCAGTAGAAAGAATTTTTTGCTAATGAGAAATTGTGGATCCAAGACATCTTTTAGAATATTTATTGTCATTGATAGGCCCCATATTCCAAGAAGTATGGATATTATTAAGAACGGTTGTAGGTATTTGTAATAAGTCTCATAGGTCTCCTAAAAAAACACATATAAAAATATATCAACATGTCTCGTTAATAATAGGTACGCTTATGTTACTTTTTGCAATGTATCATACATAAGCGATACCAAATAAACTCTTAGTTACGTCATCGAAGGGCGCGAATATTAAATTCATTGTTGCCAATCATGGACATATGCCGGGTTGACTAACTGGAATTTAAATTTCCAGCGGGTTGTAAAAATGTCAAGTCGCCACATTTATTTATTTATTTCCTCATATTTTGATTTGTTTTGACACTTTAGTTTGCTATAACGAGTTTTTGGTTCAAGTGAATTATGTTGTGATACTTTAAACTTAAAAAGTTTTACTAGTAGACCTTGCAGTCGAACGTTGTTCTTTTTAGAACCTCTTTTAGTGCGAATTGTACAAGATAGCTTAATAGCCGTTGCAAGTAACTCATCGCAACCTTATTAGAATATTTTGAACGCGAAAGCGGTAGTAATGGCCCTTTATGTACCTTAAATGCTGTTAAGGAGAGTTTTGTTGATGTAAATAATAACTGTTTATATATTTATAATTAACTCATTTTTTTCTTAAAAATATTTTGATTAAAAGAAAATATATAAAAGTGGGCAACGCTGTGCCGGTCAAGCTTGATCACGTGACTAAAAATTTATTTGGTATGATCTTATGGCATACGTTTTACACGTATTAAAAGTATCTCCTTATTGTCAATATGACTTAAGTTATATATTTTTACCTTTTCTTCTGTATTTAAGACGAGTAATATGATGTAAATGAGTCCCTGTACAATAGGTAATTGTAAAACTAGAAGTTTCAAGTTAGTTGCAGTTCTCCTGTAAATAAACATATATATAAATATAAAATGAATATACAGGGTGAGTTTCCTACGATGTTCTCTATGGGTATCTCGGAAACTACTGGAGATAGAGAGTCGGTTAAATGGGGAAAGAATTGCAGTTTTGTGGGGTCATAAACATGCGCCTTTCAGATTTTTGGAAAAGTTCATGGCTTCCTAGATATTTTGAAAAAAACAAATTTCGGCAATTTTAAAAATTGTCCCTAATTCCATTATAATCTATTTTAGACAAAAAGTTTTCAGATAAAAGTTGTAGATAATCACGTTCTTAATGACATTGTGTCCTTCGTTTTTTTCTAAAGCCTGTAATTTTTGACATATGACACAAACATTTTGTGACAAACATAAGTGACGGAACTTGACGTTACTTACGTTTTTTAGAAAAGTTAAATTTAGATACTTGCTCTTCAATAGAATGGTTCCAACATGACTTTCATTATTCTTTATGACACTCCTAATAATGAAAGAAATGTTAAAAATTATTTATATCCTACCTAATTATGCAAACTCAGAGATAGGAAGAGGTGGACAAATTGCATGGGCCTCCTTGATCACCTGACCTATCCATTTTAGATTTTTTTAGGTAGTATGGTTCACAGTAAGGATTATAAAAGAACTTATGAATTAAGAGAGGCATTCGAAGAGGCGGTACGGGAGAAGTTTATTAAAGTCGACCGGCCGTAGTCAACCGTTTTGTGGAAATTCATAAGTTCTTTTGTGACCCTTATTGTTAACCATATCGCCTAAAAAAATCTAAAATGGATAGGTCAGGTGATCGAGGAGTATAAATAATTTTTAACATTTCTTTCATTACTAGGGGGAATGTCATAATGAAAGTCATGTTGGAACCATTCTATTGAAGCGCAAGTATCTAAATTTAACTTTTCTAAAAAACGTAAGTAACGTTCACAGGTCACATTTGAAAAATTCATATTTACAATTTTTGTTTATTTTAAATTATAAAGTTTGGATGTGACAGTTTCACATTTCTGAGAGCAACAACGATTGAACTTGTTTCCATGGCTAACTAAGTGAAATTTTTTAAAAATTATAAGAATTGGCTATAACTCAGTAATTTTTCGAAAGAAACATATTATAGCTTATACCGCTAAAAAGCTTAAAAAATGGCGCTTTTTATGAAGTCATGGCCAACTATGGTTTCCATTTAAAAATCATATGTTTGTGTCATATGTCAAAAATTACAGGCTTTAGAAAAAAACGACGGACACAATGTCATTAAGAATGTGATTATCTACAACTTTTATCTGAAAACTTTTTGTCTAAAATAGATTATAATGGAATTAGGGACAATTTTTAAAATAGTCGAAATTTGTTTATTTCAAAATATCTAGTAAGCCATGAACTTTTTCAAAAATCTGAAAGGCGCATGTTTATGATCCCACAAAACTTCAATTCTTTCCCCATTTAACCGACTATCTATCTTCAGTAGTTTCAGAGATACCCATAGAGAACATCGTAGGAAACTCACCCTGTATATGTAATATGTAGTATACAGGGTGGCCCATCGAAAACCTTCCGCAAGGCATAACGGCCAAGGTAATTTTTTTCAGAAAATTCAAAAACACGTCAATTTTGTTTGTTTATTTTATCTCTTAAAGCTTCATTCCGAACTTCTAAATTATTGGAATAAATTAGTGGTTTCAATTACTGTCGAAGTTTGTTCCTCTAATTTCAATGTAAGCATTCAGAACGTTAAAATTAGTAGAAGACATTTTCAGTTAGAAGAAAAAGTTAACAAACTTTTAACTTTTGCCACTAATAATTATACTTCTAATCTGGAAGTACTTATTAAACATATTATTGTGATTATATGAAGAATAACAGGTTGGCCCATCGAAAACGTTCCGCAAGGCATAACGGCCAGAGTATTTTTTTTCAAAAAAACGTCAATTTTGTTTGTGAGGGGGACAACGTTTTCCCCAAAAATGATTACAAAATCTTCAACCCTCTAAGCGTGGTTGTCATCCCCCATTTTTTTTCAAATGGGAAGGGGGGTTAAGTGGTACCGCAATGAAAAGGGCTTTCTATTCTCTATACTTTCCCGCTTCGATTTTGAAAATCGGTAGAGTCATTGAGAAAATATGAAGGATTGAAATTTGAAAAGTTTATTTAAACATTTATCAGAGTAAATGATAAGGATAAAATCCTTCGACCAATTTGCTGTTTTTTCTTATTATTTCTAGATGTTTACGCATTTTTTCACTTGCCACAAGGTTGAACGATCAGGTGCGGTAGTTGCTAGATAGCTGTTCTGTGACTTGTGCGTTGCAGTTCTTCTCAATATCGTTAAACTTTTTAACAATTATGGTGTACTCACTTGCAGAAAAAGTGGAAATAATCGAACTTTATTTTAAAAATAATGAATGTGGCAATCGGTTTGCGCAGATATTCAATGAACGCCATCCTGACAAACACCTTTATGGCAAAATTGTTGGCGAGTTAGTAGCAAAATTTCGCGAAACTGGTTCAGTTATGAATAAAAAGAGGCAGAGGGAAAATCCTGTAGTAAATGAAGCTATGGAGGTATTCCTATTGGGCCAAGTTGCCATGGATAGTACGCTGAGTACAGGAAAATTAGCCAATGAGACCGGCGTGAATCGTACAAGTGTCCAAAGGATATTAAAAAAACACAAGTTCCACCCGTACAAAATTCAGTTGGTACAAGAACTCAACGAAGACGATTTTGATCGTCGCTTGCAATTTTGTGAAACTATGAGTGAACGAGTGGCGAATGATAATAATTTCCTATTTAATGTGTGTTTTTCGGATGAGAGTACTTTCTTTCTGAATGGTGTAGTTAATCGGCACAACTGTCGGTACTGGTCTGAGGACAACCCCAGGGTTTTTCACGAGGTGCACACACACAAAACCCTCAATTCTATTGTGGGTCAGTTTAACGATATTGAGAAGAACTTCAACGCACAAGTCACAGAACAGCTATCTAGCAACTACCGCACCTGATCGTTCAACCTTGTGGCAAGTGAAAAAATGCACAAACATCTAGAAATAATAAGAAAAAACCTCTAATTGGTCGAAGGAATTTATCATTACTCTGATAAATGTTTAAATAAACTTTTCAAATTTCAATCTTTCATATTTTCTCAATGACTCGACCGATTTTCAAAAACGAGGCGGGGAAATATAGAGAATAGAAAGCTCTTTTTATTACGGTGCCACTTGACCCCCCTTCTCATTTGAAAAAAGTTGGGGGATGACACCCCCGCTTAGAGGATTGAAGATGTTGCAATCATTTTTGGGACAAAAGTTGTCCCCCTCACAAACAAAATTGACGTTTTTTTTTGAAAAAAAAATACTCTGGCCATTATGCCTTGCGGAACGTTTTCGATGGGCCACCCTGTTTATTCTTCATATAATCACAATAATATGTTTAATAAGTACTTCCAGATTAGAAGTATAATTATTAGTGGCAAAAGTTAAAAGTTTGTTAACTTTTTCTACTAACTGAAAATGTCTACCACTAATTTTGACGTTCTGAATGCTTACATTGAAATTAGAGGAACAAACTTCGACACTAATTGAAACCACTAATTTATTCCAATAATTTAGAAGTTCGGAATGAAGCTTTAGGGTTTATAGAGATAAAATAAACATAATTTTTATTCATCGTTCTTCCGTGTAGGGGAAAACCGCTATGAAACGGACGGGTGTTGAAACGGACATTTGTCTTAAGTCCTATTTGATTGAATAGCCGAAACTTTTACGGTTACATTTGGCAACCCCGCGCACCGCTTCCATTACCACCAAAATTGCGGGCTGAACTGGCTGATCGTGTCTCGGTGGCAAGAATTTTAATATTAGGTGTTAAAAAACTAATTTTCTTTGTGAAAATATCGAACTATGTCACAGGTAAGCTATTGAAATTTTGTCAAATTCAGATTAATAAGTTTAAATCTAGGTTATTATAGTACACAAATGAAGGTTTGGACCGTATAAAATATTTCTCTATTTACACTTTATATTGTCATTTAGTGGTTAAGTGGGTGTTGTCTTGAAATGGACACAAGACGCCGTATTGAAATGGACGTGTCCGTTTCAATACTACATGTCCTTTTCAAGGCTTTGTGACAAGTTTGTTAAGGAATAGTAGATAATTTTAAACTTTTCATTAAAATTAATTTTCAGATCAATATTTCTACACGAAAGAAAAGGTTACGACCAGCCAGTGATGTAATCGAAACCGCCGTAAGAGAAGTTTTTGATAAAAATCAATCTATCCGGTCGGTAGCGGCAGCCCATAACTTTTCCAAACCTTACTTAGCTTCAATTTGTAAAAGAGCTAGAACTGAGAAGGAAGATTATCGTCATCGACCTAACATAGTTAATAAACGTATTTTCTCCCTTGAACAGGAAAAATTATTGGTTGATTATCTGAAAACATCATCAAAGATGTGTTACGGTCTCACAACCGTGCAAGTCAAGGAACTTGCCTACCAGTATGCAAAGGCTCAGGGAATTTTACCGAAATCTTGCAAAGAAAAGAAGATGACATCAAAAGACTGGCTACTTGGTTTTATGAAAAGAAATTCAACATTAAATTTAAGAAAACCCAGAAAACACTTCTCTCTCTAGAGCGACTTCATTCAATCCAACGAATGTCAGTAATTTTTATAGCAATTTGGAGCGAGCTCTGGAAAAAACATAAATTTAAGCCCCATATGATTTGGAATTTAGACGAAACTGGCTGTCTCACGGTTACAAATCCTCCAAAAGTTTTAGCAACTAGAGATTCTAAACAGGTCGGGCAAGTGACTTCAGTCGAAAGAGGTAATTTAGTTACGATGCTTGGATTTATTAATGCCTCTGGAGGAACAATTCCTCCCGTTTTTATATTTCCCAGAGTGCACTTTAAGGAAATTATGCTGAAAGAAGGGCCTAGTGTCGCAAAAGGAATTTCCAATCCAAGTGGTTGAATGACGGAAGAAGGATTTTTGGATGTGAATTACTTCCACCGGTAGAAACTTAATGATAGTGAACAGTCAAGTAAAAAAGTTCCTCTATGCCAATTTATACCAAGAGAAAACAGAGAACCCAACACTCAACCTCACGAAAACAATAACGTAATAAATAAAGATAATTGTGTCTGTTGCAAGAAAGCGTATCAATGTACCAAAGCAGACTAGTTAAAGTGTTTCTTATGTTCTTCTTGGGCACATGAAACATGTGGTATTCAGGGTATTCGAAATTTTTATTGTAATAACTGCTCTTAAGATATAGTTTGTTTAAATTAAAGTTATTTTTGAAGCAATTAATGTCTTTTAACATAAATGTTCTTTTCATAACCACTACTGTCCATTCCAATACATCGATGTTTTGAAATGGACAAAAGAACTTTTTTCAAACTTAGATATTACTCCCAATTACAATATTTCCAAAATAAATTTAGTAATATATTTTAAAAGCATATTGATGAAACTTTCAACCTATGTAGTTTTTAATTCATTTCATTATCGATTAATAATTAATATAACTCCTTTTAATAATATGTCCACTTCATAGCGGTTTTCCCCTATTACTTAATCCTAATTATTGAGTAGGTAGTTAAAGAGAAATAGAAGTATTTATGCACAGGAGGAACTGATTGCAATACTAAAATATTCATGTAACATGCTACTGTATTCTTCCTGTTAGTGCGATATTTTGCATTTCCTCAATTAGGTTGTTTTGCTCTTTGAATCTAAACATATAATTATTTTAAGTCTATTGTTTATATTGCATGTTGTTAAATTAAAAATATATGAATGAACATGTTTTGAATGTAAAGATAAATTCTACAATAATTATAATAAACATAAAAAATTAAATTTGATAATTCATTCATGTGTATTGATGTATTGATTTCACTGAACTTTTACAGTATGATAAAAAAAAACGGTGTCAAAGACGGCTGGGGAATGACAATCGGTGATAATTTTGACGGGATGAATCTCTAGATGTTATTTACTAAAAACAATAAAAAATGATCAAATTGATCAAAAAAGGATAAAACGTTTTCTGATAACTATTAATTTTCACTTAAACTTTTTTTTTTAAAGTTTTCTAACCTTAAAAATTATTCTGTCAATGTTAAACAATTATTTTCATTATTTTTTTCTCAGTAAAACTTCTACAAATAACTTTTTTATTGTTAATATTTAAATTCTAAAAAGAACAATCGGTAAACTACATATAAAATGACAGCGATCTTCATTTCATAGCCATCGCTGACGCCGTTTTTTTCCTTAACTTGAAATCCTCAAGTTCCTTTGATTCAAAAAAAATATATATGAACTATACAGAGTCTTAAACACATAAGTGCAAATATTTTTTTTTATAATTTCAAGACATGTTAAATACTCGCGAGTGGTTCTAACCCGACTTTCATTATAACACCCCCCCCCCACAATGAAGGAAATGTTAAAAATTATTTATATCATAATTATGTAGGCTCAGGGATAGCATTGCATAGGCCTCCTCGATCTTCTCTAACAAATCTCCTTCTCTAACAAAAATAAAAAAAGGCCTCCTCGATCACCTGAGCTATCCATTTAAGATTTTTGTTATGCGGTGTGGTTTTAACAACCAGGTTTACAAAAGAACTTATGAATTAAGAGAGTCACTCGAAGAGGCGGTACAGGAGAAGTTTAGTTAAGTCGACCGATCGTTCTGTGAGAATAGCTAGAAATTCAGTTTTAAAAAGATGCATTTATGTACTCAAAACAATGGCGGATTTTTTTAACATTTTCTAAAATAACTTAAGTTTATGTAGTAATATTATTTTTATAAGTTTTAGTTTGTATAATGTAAATTATTGTAAAGAGCCATTTAAAAAAAATATATATATATATATATATATATATATATATATATACATATATAAATAACTTAAGTTTATATATAATATTATTTATATAAGTTTTAGTATATATAATGTATATATATTGTATATAGCCATTTATAAAAATATATATATATATATATATATATATATATATATATATATATATATATATATATATATATATATATATATATATATATATATATATATATATATATATATTTATAAGTTATAATACCTATAACATATAAGAATATCATGTTTTTTTATAAGTTATATACCCATAACAAAGAATATCATGCCAACTAAGTGTAATTAGTCCAGAAAAGATAAGAATTGGCTATAACTCAGTAATTTTGTGAAAAAAACATATTACAGCTTATATCGATGAAAAGCTTAAAAAATGGCGCTTTTTATGAAGTCATGGCCAACTATGGTTTCCATTTAAAAAAACATATGTTTGTATCATATGTCAAAAATGACAGGCTTTAGAAAAAATCGTAGAACACAAACTCATTAGGGATGTGATTATCTACAACTTTCATCTGAAAACTTTTTGTCTAAAATAGCCGAAATTTGTTTTTTTCGAAATATCTAGTAAGCCATGAAAGGCGCATATTTATGACCCCATAAAACTGCAATTCTTTCCTCATTTAATCGACTCTCTACCTCCAGTATAGTTTTCGAGATATCCATAGAGAACATCGTTGGAAACTCACCCTGTATAGTTCCGTGAAAATCCACATGTTAAATTGTTCAATTAAATTTTGTTTTTTTTTTATTTAATATTGTTTTTAAACCAATCAAAATATTTGACACTAATTTTAAGCTAAGCATAAAAATGTAGTATTTTAAATTAATATGTATTTATTTCCCTTTTTAATGAAGTTTGTTATTATTATTATTATTCTAATCAGACTATATCAAATGCAGAAAAAAACAGACGTGTTCTTTTGATTAATATTGGGAAATTCGTTAGTACTGATTTTAATTAGGTTAAAGATCAGCTAAATTAAACACGTGTAATAAATTTTAAATTTATTTATCGCCTTTGAAAAATCGTGAGTGCACTTCATTCATTACACCGATTTTTCTCGTGATAGTTCGCGTTAACGAATGTCATAATATATATAATTTTTGTGGTCAAGGTTGGAGATAATAAGGACCTTGAATAGAAAATCTATCAGTCAATATTATATAAATTTATTTGTTTTTTTTATGTTTTTAATTAAGTGTAAATAATGTAAATATAATTAATTTATGTTGTGATAAAAAGGAAAAATAAAAAATAACGTTAAAATATCATATAATCGAAAAAAAAACGGCGTCAAAGACGGCTGGGAATGACAGTAGATGATAATTTTGGCGAGGTCAAGCCGTAGACGTCATTCGCTTTGACCGTACTCTTTTTTATTTTTTAATGGCGCTTACTTGGTTCGGAAAACTACATGTTAATTTTAAAAACTACATAAACTACAATACCTGTAGTTAATGTAGTTTATGTAGAGAGTGTAGTTTATGTTTATGTAACCTATGTATGTAACTTTCAAATATCAAAGGTTTGAGGTGAGGTTAGGTTAGGTTAGGTTGAAGAAAAACTACACGTAGTTAATCAGGTAAATTACGTCTTAATTGACTACTTCCGAACCCTGCTTGGCGCCAGTTGGCCTTAAGAGTCTATTACGCTGTACTGTTCGAGTCGCTTTCAGGGGTCGGGTAAAGCGGGTGTGTGGCCCAAGGAAATATATATTTTATTTCAGAAATCTACCTAAGGCTTAGCCCGATCCTGTCGTGTTAAGCCACACCTAAAATTCCAAACACCCGTGCTTTGATTAATGCTTGATTAAGGTTTGTAGATCATTTTCCATAAAATAGCCAGAAATTTGTTACAAAACCATATAAATTATATATCACTGTAATCACAAAACTTCAATCTATTTCCGTATTGTAACGGAATTTTAAATTATGTCTTTATTCTCGAGAAAATTTAGTCCAAACATAAGGAATATTTTGTTGATGTTTGACCATCAAAATCTTAAAAATAAAGAAGTGTCTAAACATGTGCTACAATACGGATATAGTATAATCCTTTATCTTTAATTTCCTTCTTCATTTGTGTAAAAATAGCTAGCCAGTTGCTTAGCCACTAAAATAGCTAGCCAGTTTTACATAAAACGTTAAATGCCGAACGCTTATTTTGCTACTTTTTCGGACTAGTGAAATGGACTCTGAATCTTTTTATTCAAAGATTGTGTGTAATAACTTATGGCACAGCTATTTTATCCCAGATCTAATAAGCTTATTACTTGCTATACTTACTTAGTGACATCAAAAGTAGGTACTAAAGCACAACAAGGCCAGCAACAACAAGGTCCCACTTTGATGCTTAGCTTGTGATTCTCTAGATTTTTTATCATTTGCTTTTGACCGCCGCAATAGCCTACATACAAGCAGATCAGTTGGTACAATCCACACATCACAATCCATTGTATTAAGGCCTCAGATATGAGCTGAGCCCTAGGTACAATAACAACTAAATAACTAGCTATACATGTTGCCTAAAATATATTTAAAAAAATTAATAATTTAAACAATAAATAAAACTATTAATTAAAAAAAAAAATAATAAAATAAAGTAATAATTAAACTATTAAACATTTTTTAACTTTTACAATATATTTTTTGGTTTTGTGTAGGTATATAGAAAATACACTCGCCGGTTTTTCGTGCCGGTGAGTGTATACAGGGTGCTACAAAAATTCGGGGTACGAGCATTGGTACCTCGGTAATCATAATAGATACGAACATGGTTAAATTGGAGCAAAGTTGCGCTTTGGGATGTTTACCAAGATGCCATCAAAAAAGTTTTAAAAATTTCAAGGATTTATGAGTTTTTTGGAAAAACGGAATTTTTTTTTCAAAATCAATTTTATTTCTTCCTGTCGTTACTTTTTAGAAAATAAAAAGAAACTAATTGCACATTCTCATAGCCACTTTATTAGGGCTATCTGATAGTATTTTAAGATTTTCAAATTAGCTGATAATTTTTGAGATACAGAGGCCAACTTATTTTTTTTAAATACGGACCTGATTTTTTTCATCAGGTTTTGAAAGAACTCGGTCTCCTGAATACAATGATATGCCACACTTAATTTTTTTTTTGTTTCGGCCATTTGAACACAATTTATTTAAACTAATTTCAAGTCCGGCTCTGTTTTTTTAATTTTTAGTCTATTCATCGTTACTATATTGATAAGCTTTCAAACTCAACAGTGACGTGGCGTAAATCAATGAATACTAAAAATCAAATGCAATAAAATAATTTGAAAAACCAGAGTTGGACTTGAAATTATTTTAAATAATAAATAAATAGTTTTGTTCTGGTTAAGGTACCCAAAACAAAACAAAAGTATAAAGTGTGGTATATCGTTGTACTTAGGAGACCGAGTTCTTTCAGAATGTGAAATAAAAAATGCAGGTCCGTATTTAAAAAAATTAAGTTGGTCTCTGTATCTCACAAATTATCAGCAAATTTGACAATCTAAAAATACTATCAGATAGCCCTAATAAAGTGGCTATGCGAGTGTGCAATTAGTTTTTTGATTTTCTAAAAAGTAATGACAGGAAAAAATAAAATTGATTTTCAAAAAAAATCCGTTTTTTTCCAAAAAACTTTCTTGATGGCATTTTGGTGAACATCCCAAAGCGGCAACTTTGCCCCAATTTAACCATGTTCATCTATTACCGTTACCGAGATACCAATGCTCGAACCCTGAATTTGTAGCACCCTGTATACAAAGTGTCATATAAAACGCTAGTATTAAGCCCACTTACGGGTAAACCGGGAGTAGCTAATGATATTCTATCTAAAATATATTTTTTTCTTAACGGAAAATGCTACGATTTCGTTGTCACGCTGTATAGATATAAAAATAGTTTCTTCATACACATAGCAAATAAATATAGAACTGCAATGAAAAACTGAAAGTATTATTATTTAATTACCGGATAAATTGCAATCACGCAAACGGTATTTGCTTTCACTTTAGATGAGGTGTGTCTCAGAACATGCCTGAGAGTGTCCACAAACGTGAGGCTGACAAGAATAAGAACCAAAGTACTCAGACATATGAGAATAATGCCATAGACATCAGTTGCTACAACAAACAAATAACAATTAATAAATGCTGTTAAAAAAATAAACTATACTTATTCACTATCTAGATCAAATAATATGATAAGTATTGTATTGATGGAATACTTAACTATTACATTAGTTAATGATTGAGTAATATTTGGATATATGGTATATAATACGAGTATATATCATTTATTTAACTAGAGTTAAATAAAGGATTTTATTTTTATTGTCTTATTTAAAATTTAATTATTGTCAAACTAAAAATTGTGTATATTTAAAATATCTACGTACTCATTAGAAATATTATTAAGTGATAACACTTATTATACACTCCGATTATTTCATGAATTTTTTAGTAAACTATATAAATCTCTCACCTATAATTCATAAACTCAGTTTTTATAAACTTTAATATTCGGCTTATTATACAGGGTTAATTGAAGGGTTGTTTTTTACCTTATCTTTAAAACACCCTGTGCAATAATTTCGTGAGTAACTTTTCCTAAAACATTATTTTTCGATCAGAACCATGTCTCCTGAGCATTTTGTTATTTGACTCATGTCAACACAAGCCTTGTTTAATTTTTAAGAGCGAAATGAACTTGCCACCAACAATTTGCAATTTTTTCTATATAAATTAACTATCATTATTTTTATTTTGTTATTATTTATTATCACGAGATGGTTTTGGTGACTATTGTCGTAATTAGCGATGGGAACTATCGAATGAATTAGACTATCGAATGGTTACTGAATGAATGATTTCAACTATCGAATGGTTTCATTCGAATAAAATCATTCATTCATTTGTATACTAAAGCATATGTGACAACCTCGCCGTGCGACTAAATGGTTATCGTTAGCCACGACTATCGAATGCTTTTGATAAATGAAATTTAGTATTCGTTTGATTTTTGTCTGCGTCAGTACATTATTAGTTCTTCCAAATACTGTGCTATTTTTGCGTTTATTAAAATATTTAAAATACTAAAGTAGTAGTGTTTTTTTTTTAAATTGACGATTGTGTACGTGTGCAGGTGGTCAAAATTTTTCCGAAAATTTGTGTGATTTTTCGATCATTCAATTATTTAATTTTATACGGTACATGGTCTATTTTTTTAATGGGAAATTTTGAGAAGTAATAATTTTTAAGAGAGAGGAGGTGAACTTACAATTAATTTTAAAAATACATATGTATTTCGACGCCTCCGAAAGAAAACATTGTAAGTAACAAAGTCACGATTTTCGCTTTTTGGCATTATTTTAATCTACTGTTAGTACTCTTTCTAATAAACATTCGTAAATTACCAATTTCTTTTGATAAAAGCGAGATTTTTTTTCTTTTTTGAATTGTAAGTTACAATTTTTAATAAAATCCCGGGCAAGAAGACAGTAAGGGTACATACAATTTCATTTATAATGTCCCTTTACATTGTAAAATCCTTTACAATTATAAAAATCAAATTTTTGGTGCAAAAACAAGGTAACAACCTTTACAATTTTTTTGCACGGATATTTTAATAAATAATAGGCATTGTAAAAATATTTACAATGATTTTGCGCGGATTTTAATGTAAAATGCATTAGATACAATGTTTTTGCTTGGAAAGTATGCAACGCGCCTATCATTTACAATGCATTTCCTAACCTAAAAGTTTCAGTTTTTAATAGTATGTGTTCTCTGTGGTTCTTTTTTCAATTTTTTATTATTAATTAAAATAATTAAGTTTATAAATTGGTTGTGTTGTCATCTTATATAGCAAAATGGCATCCAGAGCTAGAAGAATGGTAAAAGCGGTTAGAAAAGAAGGTAAGTAAAGTATTTAAATAATAGTCTTCCGCTCCGTGCGCACCACCGAATTTAAGGCCGTCTTAAATTTGATGCTAGATCCTTATGGGTAAATTTTAACATTACAGGCGTAAAAATCGAGAAACCTCATCGGTCGAAATGTTGTCATGTCAAAATATGACGGATTTTGTATTGGGCATTTTACAAAAATCCGGCAAGCACGTAATGAATTTTTCGATATGACTATATGTTAATTCAGGCAAATTAACAAGATGCTTGCAAAATAAGAACTAAAGAATGTAGATCACGTTGTGAATAATTATTTTTATGTATTTTTAGATTTACTAAAAAGGGTGGCGGTAAAAACCTATTATACTTTGCCGTCAAGGCACTGCTTAGGCAAATTGCAAAGTGCCTTAAAATTAGCAGCCACAACGTGATTCATTTTCTGTTATTTTATTTTTTCTGTATTATAGTCATAACGAGAAATTCATTCCATACGCTTGCCTTTTGCCAGCTTTTTGTAAAATATCTAGACAATTTATAAAAAGCCTAAATTTGCATGATGCCTATGACATAAAAACGTCATAAGGCTACTCTCTAATTTTAACGGTCTAGGTACATTGAAAAAAAAGTAAAAAAAAATATAAAGTCATCCCTTATTATTATAGGGCTGGATATAAATTGGAATTCCCAAAACATAATAGACCGTAAGGAACAAGTATCTAGCAACAATTTGGTGTTACCAGGTAAGATGTGATGTATAGCAGAAATGCTTACTGAATAAATTTGAAGAATTTACCTTTACCGGAAAATTATTGCACCTGTATTTAACATTTCTTTTATTTCAGATAGTCGAATTGTCGCAGAAACCCTTTATTTCAATCCAGAAAATATTTTTCCAAATGATAAAGATTATGAGCTAATAAAATCTATAGAAAATGGAAAACGCGTGATCCAAAACGACCTATTAACTGAAAATTCAGATGCCATTCATGACAGTAGTATTGAAGTATTTCTGCCTTCTGATTTGACCAATATTAAAGATCGTGAAAGTAATAACTTAAATATTACTCCTAATAAAGTTACTACGAGTACATCCTATAAAATTTTGTCGAACGAATCAAATCTCAAATCTTTGTGTCTTGAGAAAGATATTAATAATATCTTTGGAGAAGATATAAGTAGTTCTGATGAATATGAATATAATGGTTCAGATGAATCATCTACTTCCAATTCAAGTTATGAGAAACTACTAAAGAAAAAAGCACGTTCATCATTGAAAAAACATTTAGTCAAAAAAAGAAGTATTGGTCACCAAACCGCGGAGTCTGAATTAGAAGGTCCAGATCAACCCAATAGAATTGAAACTGATGATTCCTTAAGTGCCGACGAAAACGAAAACAGAAATAGTGTCTCACGAAAAAGAACAAAAAACCCTCAAAACTGGAAAAGAAACGTAATTAAAAAAAAGGTTCAAATGGGAGAGGAACACCGAACAAAATCTGGACGAATTATAAAAAAGAAAGCTATGAAGGAACCTTGCAAATGTAGAAAAAGCTGTTTTGAATTAATCAACAACGAAAAGAGAAAACAAATATTTGAAAAGTTTTGGTCTATGTCGGATTATAGCAGGCAATCTGCGTTTGTCGGAAGTTGTGTAAAAAGGGTACCGAAAAAGAGAGTAAAACCTCAAAGTTGTGATCAGCAGCCTAGAAAAAAGTCCTCCTTAATATACAGTCTTCCAGTTAAATCAGAAGAGTCCAATTTGATTCAAAATGTTGTAGTGTGCAAAACAATGTTCGTAAATACATTGAATATTACAGACATGTGGGTGATGACCGCCTTAAAAAAATGGACCGTCTGTGACTGGTAGTATAACACCTGATAAAAGGGGTGCGCACTCATCCCGACCATTTGTTATCTCAGAAGGTATAAAAAAGAGTATCAGAGATTACATTAACCTCTTCCCCAGAGTGCCCTCTCACTATTGCAGAGAAAACACATCAAAGGAATACTTGGAAGATGGTCTAAGCATTGCCAAAATGTACCGTTTCTACAGGGATTCGTGCGCTGAGAAAAAAATTACTTTAATTGCATCTGAAAGGCAATATAGAGACCTTATGAACGATGAGTTTAATATTGGTTTTTTTAAACCGAAAAAAGACAGATGTGAGACTTGTGTTGATTTTGAAATGAAGGATCCAAAGACTCCCGACCTAGTAAATTCTTATCAGAAACATTTGGATAGAAAGAAAAGAGCAAGAGAATTGAAAGAAGTCGACAAGCGCAGAGCGGCTGTAGAAAACAAGAAGTTTTCTGTGTGCTGTTTTGACTTGCAGAAAGTTATTCAGATTCCTCAGTCAAATACCTCGGTATTTTATTACAAGCTAAAACTCTCGACCTTTAACTTAACCATATTTGATATGGCTACAAACCAAGGCTTCTGCTTTATCTGGCATGAACAAATTGGCCGAAGAGGAGCAAACGAAATAAGTAGTTGCGTGTATCAATTTTTGACGGAAAAAGTGAATGAGGGTTATAAAGAAGTGGCCCTATATTCCGATAATTGTGTCGGGCAAAATAAAAACAAAATAATTGTTGTAATGTATTACTATATTGCAAAAAAATATAACATTTCCATATGTCATAGGTTTCTTGAATCTGGCCATACACAAAACGAAAATGATAGCGTTCATGCTCTAATAGAGCGAAGAAAGAGAGAAATGGATTTATTTACACCTGACCAGTTTATTCAGTTAGTAAAAATGGCTAAAACCTCTGGAAAACCATATAAAGTGTATGAAATAAGCCAAACAAACTTTTTTAATTTTAAGAAATTAAGCGAAACTTTTAGAAATTTTTTAAAGGACTCGGAAAATAAAAAAATTTGTTGGAACAGTATCAAAGAGATAAAAATTGAGAAAGAAAATCCCGAAAATGTCCTTATAAAGTATGAGTACGACAGCGAACCTGTTATTTTAGAACTGAAAAATAAATCTACGAGATTTTCTGGATCTACAACAAGGAACTTAGAAGAGTTAAAGCAATGCTACAACTCTAAAATTCCTCTCACTAAGAAAAAATATGAACACCTCCAATTCTTAAAGAATAAGGTACCTGAAACATACCGGTATTTCTATGAGTCCCTAACATTTTCAGAAGATGTTCGAGATAACGAATCTGACTAATTTAATATTAAGTTCTATGTTTATTGTTCATGTTTTACTATTCTATTACAATACTATGCCCGTTACAATATATTTCTTATTTTTAAATATATGACATCAGCATGTTGTTTCTTTTTTAATTATTTTCCTTTTTCCCAATAAAAATATTATATTGTAACGGCTCTTACAATGTTTTCGCTTGAAAATATCTGAAGTTCTTAAAATTGTAAAAGCCTTTACATTTCACGTAATTTATGCTTTTCCAGACAAAAACATTGTAAATGCCAATACAATGTTTTAACTGCTGAAATTGTGTTTAAGCATAATTGTAAGTAACACAAAAAAGCGTAAAACTAAGTTTAATAAACAAATAGACACTATAAACCCATTTGGAACCTTCTGAAAAAAGTAATAAAAAACCACAAAATCATTCCTCAATCATTACTAAAAGACCAGATGCCATTTTTAAGTCGTAAACTTTAAATCGTTCTCCTGCAAAATTTGAATTTGTCACATACAATGTTTTCTTTCGGAAGCGTCGATTTGTATTTTAGATGTTTTAGTAATATGAATCAGTTGAACTTAATAATCATATATAAGTAATGTGGTAATGTGGTTAAGTAAATTGTTATCAAACTCAAATTTTGGGATGAGAAAATTAAATTGATTGATTAAAGTTTTACACGTGCCAATTTAAAAAAAAGTTAACGATATTTGTATTTTGTTTATGCTAATTCTCTTACATGTAGATTTTTGCGAAGAAATATTTCATTTATTTTTTAAAATAAATGCCAGTAAAAGCAAATATTATTTTTAAATACTAATACAAAGTAATTAAAAGTAATACACATATATAATTTTGATTTCTAATTTTTTATTTATATTTTTCTTCTATTACACTGCATGCTTGGAAAATTAATAAATGTTTATATTTCATGATTTTAAAATTTTTTGTTAATATAACAAATTAGTTCTGTAATTATTATTATTTAATAAACCAACGTTGCCACAAAAAAATTTAAAAACTATATTATTTTTAAATTGGATCTAATATAAATAATTTTGACTTCTAATTTGTTGTTTATATTTTGCTACTACTTAAAAAAAATGTTTATATTAAATTATTTTAAATTTTGGTGTTAATAGGTATAACAAATTATTACTGTTATTATTATTTGTTAAACCAGTTTTGCTTAAAAACATTAAAAATCATTTTCCTACATCCAAAATAAAAAGTATTATTGCAGTGTAACAACAGAATATTAATAAAAACATGCAAAATATATAGTCATACTATCCCTAACTAACTATAATACCAAAGAATAATATTCTTCGCTAATACCAACTAATACGAATATACGGCAACAGCGCTGTTCATAATGTATTTGCTGTGTAAATACTAGCACCTCAATAAAAAAAATAATGTGTCCTTATCTTTATCTGACTCAAAATCAAAGATGCCGACTTTTTTCATACCATTGCCACCGACCGCCGACCGCTGTCGGGTTTCTAGGAAAGAAACCTACGTCGCCGGGCGACAACTAAAATCCAGTTTATATTTTATTATAATCGATCCTGACGAATAAATGAATTTTACAAATGAATGAATTTTATAAATGAATGGTTTTTGCTGCCGAATTAATATATTTCAAGGCAGATGACGCATCTATTCGATATTTTTATTCGAATAGTTTTCGACGAATGTTTTCTTACTAGCTATCGAATTATTCGAATGAATTGCAACTATCGAATGTTTCGATAGTATTCATTCGATAGTTCCCACTACTAGTCGTAATGTTGTATCGACATTGATTAGAACTCGATATTAAAATTTAAAAAACGTTAAAAAGTAACGATACAGGCTTGGTTTTAATAAATATTAGTAACACTAACTGAGCTAAGGATATTAAAAAAAATTGGCGCCGGGAGGCACGTATAGCCGCCCATACTAAAATATGTTAATCAAAAATGTGGTAGGCAGTTTTTTTGGTTTTAAAGTAAAGAAATTTTTCCAATTTTTTTTATCTCAAAAACTGCCACTTTGACTGATTTTGATGTTATTACAAATTTTGTTGTAAATTTTATTCCTAATCTTAAATTGAAAACCGCGTTTCGCTAGCTACTGAAATTTTGGAGTTACAATTTTTTAAATTTTTAACCCCCTCCCATACCCCCTTACCAACCTCCCACCCCCACCAAAAACTAATAGCCAGATTCTCGGGTGCCACAGTATTTTTGTGCCAAATTTGGTTCAAATCGGTTTAGCGGTTTTTGAGTTATCGTGTTACAGACGGACAGACAGACAGACACCATGAAAATAATTTGTATTTAGGTCATTTATGACCCAAATAACTCATTATGAGTGAAATTAAAAAAAAAATTTTTGCCGATCTTAATAGCCTATCATACCTATTGGTGTATAATAAGCCAAATACTAAAGTTTATAATACATGGAGTTTACGAATTAAATTTGATATATTTTTGCTAAAAAAAATCAGGAAAAGAGGGCTAAAAATAAAAAAAATATAACGTTTTAAAAAAACTTGACCAAACATTATTTTTCCGTTGCGTTTTTTTTTGCATCTGAGTGTAGTAGCTAGACTGTGTCATGTTTTGGTACTAGTATATTTAAAATGTGTGGTTACAATTATCTCAATAAAGTTATATATCTATTATTATTAAAAAAACGGTGAAAGTTAAAACAAATACTGTTTTTTACCTTGCAGATATGAAGCAACAGAAGGAATATCGTTTGGATCACATTCTGTAGTATTATTCATAGTTTCACTAAATATTTTAGATTTCCAAATGACTTTAAGTTAACATCGACATTTGAAAATGACTATGTAAATCAAGTTACGCGTACATGTATATTATGTTTGTAATCACATCGTAAAGTAAAAGAAAGTGTTTAATTCTTGAAACAAACCGTATCGTTATAGTACCGCACCGTTAAATCCCTTCTTTGCTCTGCACATACACCAGGTGTATGTACATAATTTAGATATTTTAACATCAATCGTTTGTTATTGTTATCTCCTTTGGTTACCTTGATTCATCGTATAATCAGATAGTGTAATTTTGTATTTATGTATATGTATTTATCTTATTTATTATTAGCCAAAATATGTGTATCTTGAGACGTAATAAATATTTTTTGTAACAATGATAACGGTTTCATTGTGTGTTGAAAATCTAGACTTTTGAAATTGTAATAAAATTTGATATAAAAATAAGTTGGGTAAAAGTATGTACCGGGTGGACAAAAAATGGACGCCCATTGTGTCTCTGATACTACTTATCGTATAATTTTGAGAAAAATTAAGCCAAGAGTTAAGTAAGTTATTTTAAGTTTTTTCAATTATAAGTTCCCAAAAATCGCCTATAGGCTTGGTGCATTTCAGTTGATTTCAACAAATTCCGACCGCAGCGCTTCAACGGCAGAAATCAGAAATTATCAGTGTTTATTTCACGCCGACGGACGTCATGTTGATTGCATTAAAATAATATTGAAATCGTGGTTTTATCATGATAGTTAAGTATTTTAGTTTTTTGCTAGTGCAGCTATTGAGACTATAAAACGAACCAGGCGTCTTGTGTTGTGACAATTTCAGATGTTAATAAAATTGCCGAAAAAATGTTAACGCGTAAAGGAGGTCATAATTACATGGTTGTTGGGTGCAATAAGATTCAATAACTCAACTTTGCCGGATATTCAACTGTCCCGAAACATTTTATAGCTTCACAGCTTCTCATAGCGATTTGAACAAAAGCAAAAATGGATTCAAGCAGTTTGACAAAACAAGTGAGTAAACAAAGTGCACATTACCACAATAAAAAAAAACAGGGATATATTATGAGAGGATAACATAACGGGTGCGTCTCCAAAGTGGCTCACCCCTATAACTTTTTTATTTTTTCAGATAAAAAAACGAGATTTGGTATGTTAGTATATGACATAAATTAGGATTGATTGACGTATTCAATTGTTTTCGGTCACTTCCTGTTTCACCGGAAATTACTACAACTTGTGATTTTTAAATGACACCCTCGGTATTTTTTACTTTATTCGATAGAAAATGTTTACATATCATATGTAAACTTTTGACATTCTCGCTTTAAAAAAAATTGTATTTTTAATGTCAATCTAGAGTACCATGGCTGTGTAAAAAACGGTGTGGAGCTGTGGAAAATAAATTTGATCGTCTAATGTTTTACGTGTCTTATCCTGGTCGGTTAAAAGATTCCCAAATCGTATTTTTAATCATATCTAATTTTTTTCAAATGGAACAAGGGTAGCTCATAGGGCATTCAATCCCGGACATGTTTTCAATCCCGAAATCCCGGGATTGTCTTTTCTTTAATCCCGGGATTTTCGGGATTCATCATTACATTTTTTCCTTAATTTAAATCGTACACAAGTCTTTCATGATAGTACAATATGCGCTTATACACAACCCTGAATGTTTGATCAAGTTTGAAGATGATGAAGATCTAGTTTGAGTGATAATACTCTTGATCGGCTTGTTTTTTTTAAGAAATTTTTTCAAAAACCAAAAAACCAAGTTTAGATCCTCATTTTTGTTACTGCATAAGTTGTTATTTTAGTATCTCTTAGTAATCCTGTGTTATGCTGTATTCGATTGGTTATGTAAATTAAATAAAAAATGTATATTTTAGTTCCTTTTATGTTTTTTTTTGTTAAATAAACTTATATGTTATGTTGTTTTGTAATGGGTATGACGTTTAATTTATGTTAATGTTTTTTTTGTTCAATAAAATTTTGTAAAGAAAGAAAATATAATATAATTCCAACGTAATTAATTTTTTCGTGAATCCCGGGACCAATCCCGGGATCCCGGGATCGAAAAATTATAATCCCGAAATTCCGGGATTGAAAATTTCTTTCGGGATTGAATGCCCTAGCTAGCCCATTAGCATATTTGAAAAAAAAACATTTTTTACGAATAATTTGATACCACACACTTGGTATTTCGACTCAAATTGTCGTTATGAACCGCCTGTTACAATTTTAAATAAGCCATATGCGAAAATATCAAGAGTTGACAGGTCATACGTCATTCTATTTAGAGTGTCATTTGCTATCGAATAAAGTAAAAAAAATACCGAGGGTGTCATTTAAAAACCAAAAGTTGTAATCATTTCCGGTGAAACAGGAAGTGACCGAAAACAATTGAATATCAATTGTTTTCGGTTGTGTTCCCAATCAATCCTAATTTATGTCATATACTAACATACCAAATCTCCAAAAATAAAAAAAAGATATAGAAGTGAGCCAGTTTTGAGATCACACGGTATATAAGTTGCAATATTAATGGTATACTTTTACAAAAATTCTACCACTCTCAAAGTCGTAAGCAACAAGTACCTGGCCTCATAATATACAATGTTGATATGGCTCATTTTTTATTTTTCCCATAGCATCATTTGTTATCAACTGTCAATCAAGTGCACTTATTTTTGTAAACGGTGTTGCAAAACATCCTCACAATTAAGTATTTTTAGATAGAGTAAATAGTAATATACCTCAGAATACCGTATGATCCGTATAAAAACGGCGTCAGCGACGGCTATGAAATGAAGATCGCTGCTATTTCATGATAATGTCATCGATGTTCATTTCCAAGCCGACTGGACGCCGCGCCGTTTTTTTCGATAATACAATTGTTTGTAAACTAAAAATAGCCATTATTTACTGATTAATTATTACAATTAACCGGAACTAATAAATTTATTGATTTTTTTATAAAACACAATATTTTTATGATTCACTATACTATGTTTCACTAATAGAATTAAGTGGAGTTTGACACTAACGTAAAATTAAGCAACATATCCGTATATGTAAAGATTGTACGTACCTTTGATATCCTGTAGGTAAATAATATTGATAAAATATTGTATTTTTTGATAAGATAAAACAAATAAAAATTGGTAAGTTGTTATACCTACATAGCCTCCCTTGATGTGTCTCCTAGCAGCTGCAAACTGAAACTTTCATATGTGAGTACTATTTTATGTCTTTTTTCCACCAATTTTACTCTTAAATGCGATATAACTGCATTAAAAAATTTATATTTCCTCTATAATCATATACATATAAATAATTAATAAACAATAATACAAAAAGAGTCATCGGTATGTTTCGGAAAATGTTTTTAAATTTTTTTATTTTATTTTGAGAAAACTTTTAAATAGGGGCTTTTTACTAAAAAGAAAGTATGACATTTTTGAATAATAAAAAAACATATTTAGTTAAAACTAGATAAAATTATCTTGATAATAATTAAATCGATGATCCGGCAGTATTTTCGTTAGATCAACTTTATGGTGAATAAATATCTATATATTTATTCAAAAAAAAGCCTCTGTGTTTCACCACTGAAAAAGAAATCTGAAAAGTAATAATATCATTTTAACAGAATATACAGGGTGGTCCGAACTGTATTCCGGAAACTTCGGCAGTATATTCTGCAGATAAAAATAAGTAAAAAAGTTCGTATAAATGTATGTCCTAAAATGCTTAGTTTCGGAGATACAGGGTGTAGAAGTTTCATTTTTATTTCGATTTTTCCAAATAATTTCTGAAGTAACGTCAATATTGATGGATGAAAATTGGTGTCTGGGAGTTTACTTGTCGAGGGCGCCACCTATATATTTTTTAACTGGTTTGAAGAGTAATAACTTTTCGTCCGCACCTGTATGAAACTAGTGAGTAAAAAATATACATTTACGACGTTTTTTACGTAAAAAAGGTCTCTTGGTAAAATGGTTCTCGAGAAATTTGGAACCGAAATTATGAATACCCTGTCATCATTGAAATCAATTAAACATGCGTTGACTAAATAGTTATTAGACTGAAATCATAAATTTGAATTTTTTTTGTACCAAAAGTTCAATAGAAACTGTTTTATCATAAGTATTTCGAGAAGAAAAATTTATTATTAATTTAAAAAATAAAAAGTTCCCAAATTTATCATTTCAGTCAAAAAAATATCTACTCAACATGTTTATTTTTTGTCAGTAAAGACATGCATTGACTATTTTTATTCTAAATACCTTGAGAACGGTTGCTTGCAGTGATCTTTACCAAGAGACATTTTTTACGTAAAAAATCACGGAAATGTATGTTCTTTCACTCAGTGGTTTTATACAGGTATGGACGAGAGAGAAGTTATTACTCTTCAAAACAGTTAAAACACAGATAGTTGGCGCCCCCTGCAAATAGGAGTTATATTGACATCAAAATCAAATTTCTCATTCTCAAACTTCCAGACACCATTTTTCATCCAAATATTGACGTTACTTCAGAAATTATTTGGAAAAAATCGAAATAAAAATGAAATTTCTACACCCTGTATAGTCTGTCCAATGACAAGATTCTTGACAGTAATAGATGTGTCTGTCATTTTAAATTCAAAGAACTTTATTTTATTTTACAAACAAATAAGTTGGTACAATTGGAACGCATAGCAGGACATTAATATATTTAATTTTTGACTGACAAAGTGCCCCCTGTATATAGTTGTAAAGTAATTTTTACCTTAAAAATATACGTCTTTGAACTGAAACTTTCTATCATTTGAACTGACTGAAAATATTGCTATAGTAAAATAATTTAATTTTTCTTTAGAATCATAAACAGAATGAGAACATTATTTCTGTTAACTCTATTGGCAGTGGGTCTGAAATCCGAATGTCCGGAAAAATGTAACTGTACAGAAACAGAGATAGATTGTATTACTCATGGTTTGGACACTGTCCCGTCGTTTGAGTACCTGGATAATACACCGACAATCCTGGATCTATCCGGAAATCTCTTTATCGAACTGAACATTGGTGATTTTGATTTTCCAAAGAGCAAAGACGTTAAAGAACTATACTTGAACAATTCTGAAATAGTTTACGTAAATAATGGAGTGTTTAACCCGTTGGAAAATTTACAAAACCTTTATCTCGGTAACAACTACTTAAGTGACTTAGACGAATCGATCATCTCGAAATTAGATGACATTATACTATTGGAAATGTCCAATAACTACTTTACCGAAAGAATGCCAGTGATAAAATCACAAAGTTTGGAGGTTTTGTCTTTGGCTAACTCTAAGATATCTCAAATTCCTAAACACGCCCTAAAATATTTACCGAACTTGAAATTATTGTTGTTACAGCAAAACAACTTGAAGACCATATCTTTTGATATATTTCAAAAAGCTCCGGCAAACACCTTATTTGTGAAACTGTCTTACAATCCCTGGACTTGTAGCTGTGATAATATGGCAGTTTTTAAACACCTAGAAGAAAGAAGTTTTATAGATACTTCGGACCCTTTTCGATGTTCCCAGGGTCAGTTTGAAATAGATATTTATGGAAAGGGTGGTCAAGATTATATAGAAGCCTTCTGTCAAAAGGAAAACGAAATAATTGATAATTTAAACGCGTCCAGAGCAATGATTGATGAAAACAGATACAATCAGACAGATGAAGAAAATAATCTAGGAGAATCTAATGTGGAAACCAATGAAAACATTTCAATTATCTATACGAAAAGTGTGGATACGACTCAGGAATATAACAATTTGAACTTTTACTTGATTTTAAGTATATCGACGGTTTCGGGATTTATAGTTGGCGCAGTTTTTGGAATACTCTGGTACAGTTTTAATCTAAAATACAAAAGACTAGAATTAACCGATAGTAAACATCAACTTATAAACTAAAAAGTCTAATATTTTTAATACATCCTCTACACTATTCGAAAAACAGTTCGAAGCAGGTCAAGGTCGCTGGTCGTCGCATCTCGGCTTATCTCCGGTTGTCTTAAAAACTTGTCTCGTTCAATTTCGTTTTGTCTCGAGCTACTTCCGCGACGTGTCGGTATCTATACTCGAGATAAAGGACTTTTTTTCATAAATCTCAGTGAAATAAGTAAACCTAGACCTTTCTTTTTACTATAACGTAATTAATAATATTAAACAATGATTAAAACTAAATATTTTTGTGTAACCTTAGAGGAATAGCCAATTTAATCTACCCTCGGTAACTGTTTTCTAAATGCGCTGTTTTTGATTATTCATATCAGTTTAATATAGTGGTACTACGTTACACTCCATTACAACATAATTATATTTATTCCTACTCCATGTTTACTTATTTTTCTGAAGCAACCACAAAGTTTGACCTTGATTGCTTCGACAACATTTCAGGCATATTGTAGAGGGTGTTTAATATTGGATATGTTTGTACAATTGCTTAATATCCACGTTTTTTAACATAATGTACAAAAATTAAATACATGTATATTCTTATTTTACCATTTTTTCAATTGTGTAAACATTTTTTATGTAAATTTAGATATTATTTTAAGATAAAAAATTACGTTTTAAAAGCTGTACATCTCAAATAAAACATATATTTTGTAAATACTTTTTATTTGTTTTGTTTAACAAAACAAGTATGGACATTAAAATATATTTATAATAAATAAAATATAACATAATAAAAAAATAGTTTTGTGGTATCAATATTCCTGACAGCAAAAAATAATTATTGTTTATATATTTTAATATTTTTATACAAAAAACAAATATTAAAAATTAAAAGCTACTATAAAACAATACCTGTTAAACAAAATTATTAGAAATTATTATTATTAATATTTTTGAGTATTTATCGGAAAATCAATTGATACAAAAAAATCTATAAACGTATTCTACACTGTTTGGTCGAACACTAAGTATGTAAAACTTATGTATATTAAAATTAGGTTAGCACAGAAATTAATACCATATGTATAGAAATGTGTATGTGTATACCATGTGTATGTAAAGGAACGTTAATGAAATCAATTATAACTGAAACAGAGATAATGGTTATATGTTTGACGGAAGAAATAAGAAGAGGAGCAACCTTCTGGGCGATTTCGTGGCACAAGACCTGTCCGAGATATAGCTGGCGTTACAGTCACCCTGTCCGAGAATTTCGAGATTTAGTTTAGCTCTGCGCGCTGATAGTCGTTTACAGCGCAGCGGATAAAAAATACTGTACCGTAGTTTTGTTTTCAGTCGACAGAGTGAGTGGTTGCTGGAGACAGTGTTGCCAGAACTACTGATTAATCCGTAAACTTACGGATTTTGGGTACAGTGCGTTAATAATACTGATCATTAAACAATTTAATAAAATATTATACGATTAAACAAAGAGCGGCGTCAGAGTTGCCTTGGAAATATATTATGGTAAATGTCAATAATCGTCATTTCCAATCAACTAAACGACTTATTCAGTACCTACAGGGTCCGGTAATAGTGCGTCGGGCATCTATAGCTCCTAGAATAAAAAACTTGAGAATTTTGTTTTAGTGCAAATCTAAAGTATGTACTAGGATGTATTTCAGGAAAATATTTTAACTTCTATAGAGTGGCTCAAAAAAGTGTGAGTGGACCTGGATGATTTTTTTTAAATGGAACACCCTGTATATTATTACATTTTTGGCTTTCTTTTCGATCACTTTACATAACCCTAAGATATGAATAAATACATTTTGATAGTTTCAGAGATATTAAAAAATAAATCAAAAATAGATATTTTTTCAGCCCTTCTTAAAAAAATTATTAAAAATACAAAAACTGTTCTGAAAACAAAACTATATTAGGTGTTTACTTTAGATGATCTGTACTTACTTTGCTATAAATATGAAAATCGTAAATTATACAGGATGTTCAAAATTCTAAGCCAAACTTTCTAAAATATAAAATAACTTTTCTTCGTTTTTTTAAATGGAACACCATGTATATTATTTTTTCAATAGACGGAGAATTAAAAAATGAACATTTTTTATATTTAGAGTATTTCAAAATTTTTAACGGTTTCGTAGATATTTGCGGTTTTATATTTCATATGGCATTTTCCACAGTAAATTTTTATCAAAGCCACCCAATAATTTTTCTCTCGTATTTTACCATTGAAAGCGCCATATGAAATAATACTGCCTGTATCTGCGAAACCGTTAAAAATTTTGAAATACTCTAAATACAAAAAATGTTCATTTTTAAACTCTCCATCTAATAAAAAAATAATATACAGGGTGTTCTATTTAAAAAAACAAAGAAAAAATATTTTTTATTTTAGAAAGTTTGGCGTAGAATATTGAACATCCTGTATGAATTACGTTTACCATATTTATAGCAAAGTAAGAACAGACCATCTAAAGTAAATACCTAATATCGTTTTGATTTCAGAACACTTCTTGTATTTTTAATAATTTTTTTAAGAAGGGCTGAAAAATATATATTTTTAATTTATTTTTTAATATCTCTAAAACTATGGAAATATATTTATTCATATCTTAGGGTTATGTAAAGTGATCTGAAAGGAAGCCAAAAATGCAATAATATACAGGGTGTTCCATTTAAAAAAAAATCATCCAGGTCCGCTCACACTTTTTTAAGCCACCCTATAGAAGTTAAAATATTTTCCTGAAACACATCCTGGTACATACTTTAGATTTGCACTAAAACAAAATTCTCAAGTTTTTTATTCTAGGAGCTATAGATGCCCGACGCACTATTGCCGGACCCTGTATAAAAGCATTTTTATTTTATTTTTGTTTATTCTACGTTTAACACGAATAAATTTTCAATATATAAACGCGGATTTTTCATCCAAAGATATTTTCGTCAAACGTATTACAGACATTACACATTTTACTATGGCAACACTGTCGCTAAAGATCCACACCGTTTTCGATATGCCTTCCCTGGTCGAATTAGAGAAAATAAGTGTTTTATGCGTTGACCGCAGAACGATTGGTGGCTCCACCATACAGCACTTGAGACGTAAGGGGAAATCAAGTCAGCCTTGTCACGAATTCGTCCATTAGGTTACATATCTTCCCAATTCTTTCAATCAACGGTTATACTTTGTATTTAAAAGTTACAAAAATATTTTTTCCATAGCAACTGTTAAAATTGCCTTATATCTATCAAAAATAGTAGATAAAATAGTACTTTAACCGCAAGGGTAGATTAAATGATACTTTAAGAGCGAGGATAGGTTAAAAACTTTATTTCTTCTCGCACGTTTTTTAATTGCGTCCATTTTTGAAAATTTTTGTATTCCTTTTCATAAGCTATTCGAGATTTAAATGGAAGTAGTTTGGATATGGCGTTTGTCGCCTCAGCCTGAATATTTGTTGGTAATTTACTTATTTCGTTTTGAGCCATTTCTGGCTCCAATTCAATCAGCAATCGACACGAAAGAGAATTAAAAATATTGATTCAAAACTGACAACTAAAGAGACAGCTTTATTTAATTGTTAAATTACATAGAAACCAACGCCAACCCAGCACACTATTTTTTCTACTCGTAATAAATTCCTTGAAATAATAATTTCTGACTATTTTTAAAACGTAACTAGCTATGGAAAAAAATATTGTTTTATACACGACGATAAAATTGCATTATCATCTCCCGAAATTAATTCACTCGAGATTTCATCGCTCGTGAATTAATCTTTTCGGTCGACGATAAAATACCATTTTATCGTCTTGTATAAAAAATAACTATTAAAATAATTGAAAAAAACTAAAACCTCAGTCTTAATAATGTGCTATACATAATTTTAATACATTAGCATTCATTTTGACTAAATTAAAGTTATCAATTTTACATTTTTTGGTTATTAAATAAACAAACTCACGTAGTAAAAAAACATTTTAAATTATATTAAATAATTTATTAAATTAACCGGAAGAAGATCATCAACCACTAATAGAACTATTTTTATTGCTGGAAAAAAAGTGCAGTATATTTATACTTTCTAAAGCATTTTCCGCCTCAACCCATCAGAAATACAGGGTGTTCCTTAATGGCATGCTAATATTTAAGGGCGTGATTCTTGGACTAAGAGAAAAACTTTATATGAATGTATGTCCTAAACATCTTAATTTTTTTTCATAATAACTCTGATTTTATTATAGATATCTTTATGAAACTTGATACACGTCTTCTATGCATCAAGATGCCTGTTTTGCTGTACGAAGAATTTTATTTATTTCAACCAGTGCCGTCCATAGGGGTTTTACATTGAATATTTTTGGAGAAAAAGTGGTACACCACGGACTTCTTTTAAAATAAAAATTATTTTCGAAATCTCCATTCACTTCTAAACATTTTTTGTCTCTTAATTTTTTTCGTCCGACGCATACATAGTTTTTGCTCAAAAAATTAAAGTTAGTTTATTTCAGGGTTAAATCGCTAAAATACCAACCACCGCATCATATCGGTGACTGTCGTGTGGAATTTCTGCATCGGCTGGAAGGAAATTAAGAAATGAAACATTTTTTTTATATATTAAAATAAGCATTTCTGATGCATGGAAGACATGTATCAAATATACCCTCAGAGATATTAAAAAAAAAATTCGAAAATTTTACCAACCTGTATCTAAAAAGTTAAGATATTTAGGATATATATTCATATGAAGTTTTTTTCTTAGGATAGGTCCAAGAATCACCTCCTTAAATATTAGTCTGTCATTAAGCAACACCCTGTATATGTATGAAATTTGCTTTCAGAAGAAAGCTTCTCAAGAAAAGCCATCTCACACTTTTCCACTCAGGAACGCGGAGCAAGATCTTTATCTACCTACCCCACGCTCAGAGTTAGTTAAGCTTAAAAAAAACTCGAAAAAATGCACAATCACCTGCCATTTGAAATCAAATCCATAACTAAAATGTAAACGTAAATGACTTATATTTTGATAATCGAATTTGATCTTGTAAACACTGGTCTAATATTTGCTATTAGCATATTTACTATAAACTTACTAAATATTTTTGAATCTTATTTTTATTTTTTTATTCTTTGACATTGTAAGCATTTATAAATGTTTATTTTAAACAATAAGACTGACAATGTAATTTGTATACTTGTTTTGTATTCTCTTTTGTTTGTCTACTTTACCTTTGTCTACAAATTGTAAAATGTTTTGACAATAAAGGCATTTATTTATTTATTTATAACATAGCGAATAACTCTATCGGTGTTTGCTGACTGGGAAACTAAGTACCGAAAATTTTCACTGCCCCCTGGACTATAATGACCCTGTATAATGTGTATAAAAGCTGAAACTATTCAGGATATTAAATCCAACAAGATTATTATCTCCTGTTTACAATAACAACCTCAAGATATATTTGCTTGAGTATTTTTTTATTTAATTTATCTCGAAACATAATCAAATTTTTAAGATTATTGCAAATAATTCTAGTTGTTTTAAATAATTACAGATAGGAGGGGACGCGATTATAATTTTTAAAAAATCAAGTACTACTAATTAAAATTGCTTTTCAACGATATATCATGTTCCTGTACCTAAACCTAGTTCTTCAATAAAGTTATTTAAAAGATAACAAATCTATTAT